CTCTACACCAAAACTCCACCCACAGTAGCCACTCTCACATACCACTAGCCACCTTAAACTTCACCCATTCCTAGCCACTAGCCACAACACAACTCATCTTCTCCTTGCCATTCCCTATGAGATAACTCGTTAAACACGACCCCAAGCAACCAACCCCTCATTAATGTCCCTAGCTTATTATGATAACTTCACTCGAAACTAGCCTCGCAACCTTAGTTACATGCCTATAGACCTCCCTTTCTCACAGGCTAGTGCTCGCCTTCCTCATCTTGTTGCCAACTATCATAGGCCTTTCATGCTTGCAAGCCTCTAAAGCCCCTAGGCCTCCCACACCTATAGGCATCCCATGTTCGTAAGCTTTCAACACTTACAAGCGTTCCATACTAGGCATCACCCATAGCCGGCACCTACTAAGCACAACTGTAGGCCAATCGGCCCCCAAGCCAACGAGTAGCAAGCCACCCGAGGCCTAGCTACAGCCTACAACTCTTTCCCCTCAGCAATTGTACACCTCCATCAAGGAGTAAAATAGTTACCAAGAAAAAATATGTATGATAGTTTATTATTTGATTGTTGACTTAGTAGAAACTAAACTAATAGTGGATAAAAAGAGAATAAAAAATTATTGTTAGATCGATTACCTTTAGCGGGAACAACGTGATATTATAAACTATATTTATATTGCTTTTTGACTAGAAAACACAATAGCAACTCTATTAATAAACACTGCTCGAGTTATATAACTTGCAAAATTTATAGCATCTTTAGCAACAATAGTAACCTTGATTACTTATACTAATTTTGGAGAAACTTTTAGTCACTTTAGCGAGACCCATACCATGTTTTGATAATAGACAATTGCTCTCCTTCTCTAATAACTGAATAATAAGTTATCATTAGGGACAAAAAGAGTAGAATTGACCCCAAATTAGACATTTAAAATGTAAATTTTTTAACGTAAAACTCTTAAGACGACTACACTCCTTTGAAATGTGAATAAAAAGTGACTTCAATCCTTTACAATATTAATGAAATTGTTACATTTCAATTAAATATTGATGTTTTAATTATTATTGAGATGAGAGTTGTTGTAATGCCCATTATGAACAAACTACTCTAATTTATATCTACATTTTTAATGTGAAATTTGTGCATTTTTTTTTGTTTGAATGATTTATCACCTTGATTGTAATGTTAAAATGAAATTGCTAGTGGCTTTCCACTTATGTGATGAATTCACTAGTGGTTTTGAGACCATTTTGTCTATTTTTATTTACTCGAAATAAAGCCGCTAGTGGCTTCACACTTATATGGATGGATTTTACGGTGCCTTTAGATTTTCAATTTTAGTTAATTTTTAATCATTGTGGATGAAGCCGTTAGTGCTTCCTAGTTGTGCGATAAAGTCCTTCATGATTTCAAAGTCATTTTATCTATTTTATGTTTATTTAAAATGATGTCATCGGTGGTTTCTCAATTATGTAAATGGAGTCACAAATGGCTCTCAAACTAATTTTTTTAATTCGAAAAGTTAAAATGAAGCTATAAGTAGTTTTTCACTTATGTGACAAAATCGTTAGGGGTTTTGAGATTATTTTATTTGATTGTTGCTTGTCTTAAATGAAGTTGCCATTTGTTTCTTACTTATGAGACAAAGTTGTCAATGGCTTCTAAATAAGTTATTTGCTCCTTACTTGAGTACAAATGAAGTTTCTAGTAACTTTTCACTTATGTGATTAAGTTGTCTATAGCTTCCTAAATGCATAACTCAAAGTCATCAATGGTTTTCATTTATGTGAGTGAAGTTGTCGGTGACTTGCTACTCATGCTAATAAAAGGCTATCAATCTTTAAAAACTCACCTATTTGTTAGTAATAGGTTGAAGTTGTCGGTGACTTGCTACTCATGCTAATAAAAGGCTATCAATCTTTAAAAACTCACCTATTTGTCAATAATACGTCGTGTTCACTAAAGACTAGTCAAAATTCTAACTTCTCCAAATTTCCCTTTGGAGTAAGGGGTATTAGCCTTAGGCTGACTTAAACCCCAAAGTACTATTTTTTATATCTAAACACCTAAACTACTATATTCGACACATTAACAAAATAAACTCATTTAAATAGACATAAAAGCATAACATAGTAAAAAACTAGATTTTTATCTTCACCTATAAATAATGCAATCTATCTTAGGTAGGACAAGATGACGATAATGTTACGTCTTCTCCATATGTAATCGATCCCTTACTTAGATATCTATATAGACCAATATGTTCGAGTTTCCTAGTTTTATTTGATTAGGTAGGTGAAGACTCCATGTTCACGTTTTCTTGGGGTTGACATCGATAACATTAATGTTAGGTAAGTGATCGATTATTAATTGAATAATTGAGGTGATGAATTTGATTTAGTTAATGCTTGTGGTACTTGCTATCGGGAATTATTTTGGATTAGGGTACTGTGGATTCACTTATTACTTGTATTATGATAATTTAATGATGGTGAGACATGTTTTGGTGATGGATTTAGATTTGGTGTTGTTATTGTTGCCAAAGTTTTGCTTGATGATTTATCATTTAAGTGTATAATTCTACTTTTAAGACATACTTGATGACATATTGATTATGAGGAAGCTTGATGGATTTTCCTTTGAAGTATGCTTGTTGTAATTTGGCTTTACTTATGGATTGAATGATGTTGTTGTCACTTGAGGTATGTTTATGGTACTTGTTGTTGGAAATTATGGGTATACTTATAGATTGAATAATGGTATTGTTGTTTTATGGAATCGGTTTGCTTGTGGTTACTTGACCTAGATGGTTAAAATGATTTAATGGTTGTGTTGATGTTGGATGACTTGGCTTGCTAAATGAATTTGGCTAGGATTAGGTCACATGGTTTTGCATGCGTGTGTAAATGGATAAATTGAACACTTATTTGGCTTTGACAAATGAATGATAGTGGTAATGTTGGATAATTTAACTTAGTTTATGTTTGATTATGGTTACTTGGTTTGGTTGGTTGAATAATTAGATACTTAGGGTTAATGAATGATTTATATCGGGTAATTACTTGATGTCATTTAATCATGTATTTAAGTATTTAAAGGATATTTGAATGATTCGGGTGTTCTTGGATGATTTGGCATAAGTAGGTTTAATTAAAGATTTTATGCTTATGATGCCATGTGATGGATTTGGCTTATAGCCATGGAATTACTTAATGTTGTCATGGCTTGATGGATTCGGATTAGGTGATTAATTTAGGTAGCTTGGATTGTGTTTATTATTGGTTTTGACTTGATGTTAGAAGGTTATATATTTATGGTGCCATGTTAAGGATTCAACCATTTGTTGTTTTTAGATTATGTTCATGAATGACGTGATGTTATTTATGATGTGTTCATAGTTATTTATGGCTAGATGTTTCGACCTTGTCGTGTTATGTTAATTATGTTCATGAATATCATAATCCATATGGTTTATGTTCATGTATATGATTGATATGCATTCTAATTGGTTTTTTGTCATGAAAATATCTAAGCATGATTTCAAGTATTCAAAGTAAATTCATGTTCATGTTTTTAAGAAGAAGCTTATAAAGAGAATGATCTAGTGTATACTCTTTACAAGATATATAAAGGAAATGATTTGGTGCATACTCTTTATATGTTTCATAAAGAGCATGCTAAGAGAATGATCTAGTGTATACTCTTTGTAGAGATGATAGGAGCTGTGTTTTAGAATCATGGATAATGAATTTTTTTGCATTCATGCATAGTTATATTTAGTGAGATTTAACTATTAGTGTAGGCGCCCAAGATCCAATCATGTTTTAATGGGTTTGAGTTATTGTATTATTGCATTATTTATATTATTTATAACAAAAGAAGTATTTTTATTAATTCTTGAAATTTACATTTATTGATTCAATAAAATTAGATAAAAGTCCTTATGATATGCATTAGTAATTGATCGAAAGATGTGAGACAAACACTAATGCACATAAATGATATTATTAAATGTCCCAAGTCGTAGCATTGTCAAGAATGGATATTGACTATATGTGGTTAGACTTATGAGTGCTATGCTTATGTTATATGATGGTAATAGGAGATCTCAAACATATTAGCATAATGAAGCCAAAGCAAGCACTTAGGTCATTTATGTTACACAACATATCACTTGGACTTGACTCGCCATGAGAACCCATTTGGTTTAGTCTATGGGAATACCATACAAGATGGGTACAACTGGTCCTTTGGCTTGAAGACATTATGGTTATCTCATTATAGGATTTATGTACTTTGACACTCATTTTGATGGATCCGAGTAAAGGATTGCACATGGGTGAGTCATTGGGTGCACTAGGAATCTAATACGGGTAGGTGGACGACTAAGATAGGATATGTCATTCTTTGTATGCTAAGAAGTTATCACATTGTACTTTGATGAATATTTGCTTAGAAATCTATGGCCGTAGTAGGAGTACACCAATAAAGCATAGTTGGTTTACTCTAAGAGCTAAGATATTTTGGAATCGAAGAAAACTTGTGTGTTCTCAATCGAATAAGACTTATAACCAAGTTCAAGATCACATTATTATAAGTTGACATGAGAACTGAATTGTATGGTAACAATGCTCAAGGTTATAACAAATTAATTAATCCTCCCGGAGAATTGGGTAGTCATGATGTCTTCTTGGAGGCCAATCTTGATTTATGTATCAAGAGATAAAATAGGTATCTTTTGTTCTTGATAAATTGCCAATATATCTAGGTGCCTATTGAGTGACACATATAAGTTTAAGCATTCACATGATTAAAGAGAAGCAAAAATATTGGAAAAAAATTTCAATTTTGAAAGTTTCCTATTTTGGAAAGGGTTTCCAAAAATGGAAATTTTCCTAAAATTGAAGTTTCCTAAAATTAAAGTTTTCAATTTTAGAAATCAGTTTTCTAATTTAGAAGTTATTTCTAAGTTTGGAAGTAAATAACCTAAAATGAAAATTAGTTTTGTAACGTGGTGGCAAACCCTAGCCTCCATCACTAACATGGTGGCGAGTGGAGCTCCTATGGGGGACGAGATTATGTTCCAACCAACATCCACCTCCTTCCCTCCTTTACCCCACTCACCCATTGTTGTTCCAATATCCCCTCTAGAAAAAATTCTACCACAAAAAGATGATATACCAAAACCCTTCTATCCAACCTCCTCAAAAAAGAAAACCCGAGTCTCACATTGCTTCCCACAATTTCATATATCTTATAAGCCTCCAACCACACATGAAGGAAAGCCAACAATGGAGTTCTCGAAAATAGACTCGAAACAATCATCTAAACTATTTAAGTACTCCTTGTTTACAAAATTTAGTAGAGGTCATCCTCCTATCAATACAATTAGATCACATATTTTCCACAATTGGAGTTTAGCTAAGGATCTCGTGACGGGCTTGATAGATCTAAGACATGTGTTGATTCGATTATTTTCAAAAGATGATTTTATTAAAGCATGGTTATATAATTCACATCCGATAGAAATTTCATCGTTTTGGTTGTTCAAATAGGAGGAAAACTTCAACACCGGATATGAATCTTCAAGAGCAACGGTATGGGTCGAGTTGCTAGGACTTCCTCTTCCCTTCTTTCCTCCAACCCTCTTTAAGGAAATAGTTCATGCCTTTGGAAATTTCCTATGACCGGATAATAGAATAGCCAATAGATTTCACCCCATGTATGCCCGTATATTTGTAGAGGTGGATTTACGAGGCACAATTTCATTAAGGATTTGGATTTCTATTGGACCTAATAAATTTGAAGGTTTTTGGCAACAAGTTCAAAGTGAATCCAACATAGCCTTTTGCAAGCACTACCATCTGTAAGGGTATATGAAATCACACTATAGGAAAATAACAACAAGTTTCAAAAACACAATAGCAGTAACCAAGAATGCGACAAAATAGTCCAAAGGGATCAATCATCATAGGGAGCGAAGTAGAAGCTGGTTCAAAAAAAGGAAAACATCAAGCTGATCTTGGGGAAAGAATATTAATTGATCCCATGCAACATCTAAAGCCCATTGTTGTATCATAGTGGACAAACGAGGAAGGGTAAAGAAATTACCACGGATCCACAATTTCAAAAAAGCTTAGAGACTTCAAATTCTCCGTAATTGGAGCCGCTCCAAGATCAAGTAGGCACAATACACCTAGAAAATAGTATAAACACACCACAAGAAGGGGTAAACATGGATCATATTTCATATCTACAAACGGAAAGTCATTTGATAGAGGCTAGAAGTGCCTATACTAAAGCCGGGATATAGGAGAATGTTACTTAGATGAAAAAGAGCTATAGGAACATGCGGCCATAATTATTGGAAATAGTATGCATGGGATAGTTGTAAATAATAAAAATAACAAGACAAATGGCATACAAACTATGGTGTCTCGGAGGATAGCTGCTACACACAATAATATAGACTAGAATAAGGCAAAAAATAAGAACATCAATATCTAAGATACATATCCCTTCCATTCTAAGTCACACAATCACTCGATAGTAGAAAAGCTTCAAGTTTGTACCACGTAAAATAACATATAGCTACAAGAGCATGCATCTTTCAACTCATTTATAGCCTTACAAGGTATATCAATTGAGAGCTTGGAAGACAATATTTATAATCGGCATGTAGATTCAAAATTCTCACCTCATGCACACTTTGAAGGATCTCTAAAGGAGGGTTAGGCTACCTCGAATTTTAAATCGGACCGGATTTGATGGGGAGACAAGGTATTCGGATAACCAAGAAACAAAATAAAAAAAATTACTTAGGTATAGCCTAATTTGGAATATATAGGGCATAGTTGCTCTAGAAAAAAAAAGAGATACTTAAAAAGCTTATTAAAAGCAAATAAAGTGTCCCTTCTTATTATACTAGAGCCAAAGAAAAATGGAGATAAGCTATAGAAGTTTGTACAAACCATGAATTTTCCAAGGTTTGCCCATGGTAATCCAATGAATAGCCATATTTGGTAATATGGAAGGATTGTTTTTCGATTTTAGTAAAGGCTATCTCGCTCTCGATCAATTACGATACTAATGAAAGAAGTAGCCACCAACTCAACTTTCCTCCTTTATGTAGTGTATGCAAGCTATGATAGAAGGGAAAGAAGATGGTAATGGTAACCTACACCCGCTTTCCACGTTCCTATCTTGAATTATTGGTAGGGATTTTAACGCTATAGGGGAAGTCTTTGAAAAGTTTGGAGGCGCCCATCCGAATTTGGCTCCATACTAGAGTTCAACTATGGCATTCAACATCTAGGGTTACAAGATGTTGGCTCTAAAGAAGCGAGAATCACATGGAGCAATAATTAGGTAGGGACGGCTAGAGTTTGGAAATGACTATATAGAGTGTTTATCAATCGGGTTTTTCTTTCTAATCCGCCAAATTTGACTTGTGAACACTTGACTAGAGCACATTCGGACCACTTGTCCCCTTTTATTATCTCTAGAGAATGAAAGCGAGAAAACCGACTCTATTCACCTTTTAAAAAATAAGGACTACCTACAAGGATTTTCTATCCTTTGTTCACAATAATTGGATCGTCTATTATAGTAATAATCCATTATGTTAACTCTGTAAATGAAACTGAAAGCTCGATGGGGACAACTTAGGACATGGAATTGGAGGGTCTATTATGACTTAAACGTAAAAATTAACTATGCAAGTGATGAGTTGATTTGGGTAGAAGCGGTTTTGCGGTAGAGCTAGTCTAAAGTGAATGCTAGGAGTGCATATGCTAAAAAAGGAGCATGTCCAATATCCGGTGGATCAAGAAGAACAGTTATTATACAAGAAATCAAGAATTAAATGGCTAGAAGTAGGTGACCGTAATTCTAGTTCCTTCCATCCATATATGCATAACGGAATAGCTAGACCTAGGTTTCCATTGACTTTAGAAGATGGCACAATATGTTCGGATTAAGATACAATTGATAGTGCGGTTGTAGCTCACTTTCAACAAGCTTTCTCCAAAGATCAAATAGTTATGGATAGTGCTTATCTACAAGTAATTTCATCCATTATAACGGACTCTCAAAACATCGACTTAATGGTTATACCGATGAAGAAGAAATCAAATCCACTATCTTTCGAATGGATGACACGAATGCTCCTAGACTCGATGACTTTACTTAAGTTTTCTTCAAAACTTGCTAGGATATCATTTGTTATGATATAGTTAGTGCAATACAAGATGTTTTTCAAGGAGAGGATATCCCAAAAGGGGTCGGGACTACTAACACAATTCTAATCCCTAAATGTGCTAGACCAATGCATTTCACATACTTAAGGCTAATTAGTTTATGCAAATTCTCCTAAAATTCTATCTTGGATTCTTACCAATCGGTTAAGCAAGGTATTACACGACTTGATATCATTAAAGTAGTCTAGCTTTGTCAAGGGAGGGCTATTCATGAGAGTGTGGCCTTAACATAGGAGTTATTTAATGGCATAGATAGGACGGTTCTAAGGGCAACATCATTCGAAGGTGGACATGGTGAAAGCTTATGATAGGTTGGATTAGAACTTTCTTCCTAATATGATGTAATAGTTTGGCTTATCCTCACAATGGAGCAACCTAATTTACAGGTGTTTGTGTAATTGTTGGTACTCACTTATAATTAACTCCAAAGCCTATGGGTTTTTCAAATATTACAAAGAGGTAAGGTAAGGAGACCATCTTTCTCCAGCCTTATTTATCTTAACACGAGAAGCATTTAGTCGATACCTAAAGGAAAAGATAGAAGCTAGCTATATTAAGGCTTTTGTTCTCGTCAAAACACACTCATTGTCTCACATTTACTATTTACGGATGACATGCTTTTGTTCCGCAATGGAAATAAGCAAAATATGTGAAGGTTGATGGCTCTTATCCATGATTATGTAGCGGCTAGTGGACAAGCCATAAATAGCGACAAAAGTCTCTTGGTATGCGGCAATAAACTTTCGGCTAATAGGAAGAATGCGCTTGCTTCCTAGAGCGGCTTCAAAATTGTAATAGACATTATTAAATATCCGAAGCTACCATTATTTAAGGGCGAGCTTGTATGGAATACTTCATGCATACGGAACAAAAAATCGGAGATAGACTAACGAGGCTAAAGAGGTAAATTATCATCTACGTGAGGCAAAAAAACCCTCATACAAAGTGTGCTTAATTCCATACCTTTATATATAATAGGCATGCTTCGATTCCTAAATCCACTATCCACAGATTGTAGAGCTATATTCAAACTTTTTTTGGAATGGTGGTGAGGATAATAAGCATCACTTGGTTAAGTCGAAAGAAAATAGCTTTGCCGGTGCAAAAAGGTGGCTTAGGAGTAAGAGATCTGCGTGAAGTTATACATGCTATGTAGGGAAAACTAGCATAGGCCTATCTCGTCGGTTTCTCCTTCTAGAGCTCTTTTATATAGTCCAAGTATTGGAAACCTTACATGCTAATGGTTTCAAACAAGAAGTAGGGATCACTAGTATAGAGAACTTTACCACATATTCATACCATAATGGAAAGATCTATTTGGGTGGTAGGCTCGTGGAAGATTAAAATATGGGATGAAAAATGGACTAAAGTGCTACTTCCAAACCCCTCAACAATGCTACTCAAGATGTTTCGATTGCGAAGCAAAACGAAATCCTCTCCTTTATCGATCCTTGCCACTAACGGTCGGACAAGAGTAGGATAAAATAAAACTAAAGGATAATATTCAGGATACCTTATACTACATGGACTCCAAAAATGGTATATTCAAAAAAAGGATTACCATGCAACATGTAGAACCACTAGCACTCATTTCTTAAGGTGGCACGGTTTGTGGAATAAATGGCTTCCTAAAAAGATTGGTGTGTTGTCTTGGAAAGTATTGCATAATGGTTTAGTAGTGGATAACAATATCCAAAGATTTGGTATACCATTGGTTTCAAAATGTTAGTACTACGAGAAAACATCAAAACGAAACCAAAGAACACTTTTTTTTGCATGGAGACATCGTCAAAAGGTCGTGGAGTTTTTTGATAAAATATTGGATGTTGCACCTGGTTTGACTACTATCATGAATAAGGTATCAAATTGGCTTGCAATGAGTAACTTGGATACATAGAAAAGGTTATCTTGGATGGTGGTATTTAATTGCATACTGTGGGAACTATGGTTAGCTAGGAACAAGGTTGTGTTTGAAGAAGCAGAAATGCGAGTGATTTAAATCAAACACAAAGTGCTCAAGTGGCTAGGGGAGTTAACATAATTATTTGTCCTAAAGAGAAACCTTTCCTTTCATGATAGCATTGGTGTCAAGGCCTTAGGTGTATAGGTCTAGGCGCCTAGAGTAGTTAAGGGGAATTATATAAAATGGGAATTGCCTTCCATTGGTTTAGTGAAAATAAACATAGATGACACTTCGAGGGGGTGTCTATTCGGGCGAAGGAGTTATTAGAGATGAGAATGGAAGAGCACTACTTGCATTTTCCATGCTTTTTGAGTCTAGACCGAATACTAAAAGAGATGCTTTAGCTTTGTTACATGGTATAAACATTTGTCGGGCTCATGACTTATGCTATCATGTTAATGAAGGGGACTCTGTATTGGTTTTAAGAGGTTTAGCTTATCAAACTTCCACTCCATGGCAATTAACATATATCTTTAGAGCTTATTGGGTGAGTATTCCAAATAATATAATTATTCAACATGTGCATAAAGGGAATAAAATGGCTAATAGCCTTACGGATTGGGCCTTTTAGCACATGTCTTGTAGAATTATTTTTTCAAAGAATGAACTTCCGGCTAAGTGTTGACAAGCTATCTCATATAATAGAATAGGCTTTTATACTTATCGGATAGAAAATGAGTAGGGCTTTTAGTATGTAGTAGCCATTTTGTTGAGTTCTTTGTACTAAACAATTTTAGGGTTTTCTGTTATTTTTCTCCTTTTTTTAGGGGTTTAGGTTTCCTAGCCAAATTAGCATGTTGGGTTAGGTTTGGATTATCTCCCTTTGTGTTTTTTTACCACGATTATCTATATATTTGTTAAGTCGTCACCCCTATTTCTTATAAAAAAAATTAGGTTAAGGGATATTTTAGAAAATTATTTTATAATGTGGGTAACCTAAAGTTATCTAAGTTTATTTATTTGGATAGTCCAAATTAATTAATTGATCAAAAATGGTTTTACGCCAATAGGTTTAATTAAAAGCTTGAAGATATTTTGATGGAAGAATAAACATGAACCTTATTGGATAAGAAAGAGTGTTTTAAAGGTAAAGATCAAAAGCACACAAGCAAAATAGTTCTTAATCCTTAGAGAATTAGGAAGCAATAATCATAAGTCTTATTTAGGTAAGTTTTTACCCATCCTTGACCGAAGAGGATAAGGAAACTCTCCCCCTATAGATAGGAGGAGAGAGATGCAGCAACAAGAGTGGATTTTAAGAGAGAGAATTTGGCCGACAAAGAAAAAGGGATTAAGGCATATGGCCAAGAAAAATAAAAAGGAAAAAATAGTTTTATCCTAAAAACATCTAGCATGCCACCTTCTCTCTCTCTCTCTCTCTCTCTTGGGTTGTCATAAAATTACTCGGATTAGATTTCTATAAGAAAAGGTAGAGCTAGCACTCTATCAATTTTGAGTGCTTTTTTGTGATTTCTTAGACTACGGGGATAATCAATAGAGGTCGAAAGCTTAGACAACTTCTTTCTTTGTTAAAAAAAATTAGATTTGCATTATAAGAG